TTTTTTATTTATTTAAAATTTGTGATTTTAAATAAATCTATTCATTTAAGATATGTGAAAATTATATAAAAAGATTGTACAAAAAATTATTCAAAAGCCACATGTGGGAGGCCTTTTAGCTCTTGTTATCCTTTTTATATAGTTTTGTTTTTGAGAGATGATATAGGAATAACTTTGTTATATAATCTTTTTATATAATGTTTATATATTATTAAATAAATAAACTTAATATTACAGTTCTCAAATAAATAAAAATAATTATTATTTAAATGACACATAAAGTTATATAAAAAAGTAATTTAAAAAAAATTACCCTTAAATTATTTTTCTTATACTTTTAATTTTTAGATATATTAACATAGACCCACTTTAAGAGTAAGTGGGAGTATTTTTGCTTTTATTGAAATTATTGTCCATGGCGATAGTTCATGATGGCAATAAATTGCCACACTAATATTAACATGGCAATGAATAATAGAATATTAATGAGCATGTGAGTTTGCCGTCCATTTTGGGTGTTTTCATTTGGATCGAAAACATGAGGGGCTAAAGTTTTTATATTGTAAGTTAAGGGGCTGACAGTTTCAAGGTCAGTAAGGTGGAGGGCTCGCCATGGATTTTTGCCAAGAATTTTACACGGATGGTATTCTTTTGTGGGAAATTATAAAATCTCCCGAAGATTTATAATTAAGTCCCTTAAATAGTTAAATCTTCCTCAAAAATAAAAAAAAAAGGTCCCTTAAATATGCGCAAATAGTTAGTTTTGTACTGCGTTCCCACTTTTTTAAGGAATGCAAGAACCAATAGCCCGTGAGGGCATTGGCTTTATTGATTAATTTGATTGTTTGTTTGTTTGCTTGTTTTTTTTTTTTTTTTTTTTAATTGGTATATCTGATTATATGCTAGACAAGACAGACACTACCCTTTTTCCAAATCTCTTCTACTAATTCAAAATTTAAATTTAAAACTTTTAATTTAAAATTCCAAGCTCTTAAATGCCTTAAAATTATTTATTTGTCTTAGTTAGGGAGTGTTTGATACATGTTTAACATTAGTAATTTGCAAATAAGATTAATCCAAACAAAAATATTTAAATTATAATAAGTAACAATAACCATCAACCATCCTACAACACTGCAAATGGTAATTGAATTTCATAATAATTCATTTCCTCTCGATTCAAAAGAATTCTGCCATAATTGCAATTTGAATTTCTTAAACCTTTTTGATCAACCGTCCAACTCATTCAAGAAGATGTGAAATTCAAAACAAGTAGGGTTAGTTCCAGCCTCACTATAGGCTTTTGTATAAACAAAGCAGAACAAAATATTTCATATGAAAATTTCTCTAGGATGATCAAAAGAAATGTGACAAATATAAATTAGTCTCTCACAATAGAAAGATTATATTGTTGCTTCCCTAAGTAACTCAGCCTCATATCAAAGTGAACAAGTCCTTAAAAAAGCATTGATAACAATTAACACAGAAAGACTTTAGCCCTGGTTATCAAGATGAATGTCGATCAAGCCACGAGAGTGCTGGCGGTGGTAGACTCACTGCAAAAGGAAAAATACACTTAACAACCTATTGGGAAGAATTTTCTGGGAGAATAATAGTTACTTGTCTCTGACAACTATTGTGCTTCACTAAATGCATCAAGTTAACATTTTGTCAACAATTTAGCTAAGATCAATTCTTCATAGAACATAAAGTCAATAGGCAGTGTAAAGACTACTCACTACTTCCACACGGGTGGCAGCTTCTTTGTCTTCTTGTAATAGCGGGCAAGGCGGTGGATCCTGCTCTCCACAAGGATCAAACGAAACTTGGAATCCTTGTCTTTTCTGTTCCTCTCAAGATGTTTACGAATGGCAACTGCCTTCTTAATCAGATGATAAAGATCTTCAGGAATTTCAGGAGCAAGACCTGACAAAGTAATGTACATACAACAGGGGAAGGATGAAGAGGCAATCAGTTGATTATGTGATTACAATCCAAGGAAAATGATTCTCAAAGGAAAGTTAATAAAGACCCACCATGCGCCTTCAGTATCCGTAAAATTTTGCTGCCAGTGACACTTTTCACCTGAGCAATACCATGAGAATCACGAAAAATGACACCAATTTGGGACGGTGTCAAACCTTTCTTTGCAAACTTGCAGATGTTCTCCTCAACCTAAAACATCATATTCATTAATCTTGTAAATGGATAAACAATAAAGTCATCTAATAAGCAAAATGTTAATCAAATAGAATGCTGGAAGTGTTTCCCAAATCAACATATGAAGTAATAAGCTAGCTAAGCTTTAAAGCATCAATAGACTGGGTAACATTAAACGTAAAACTGGATGGACAAACAGCTGACGCTCCATCTAATCCTCACAACACAATTCCATTTATACCAGAAGAATTTCATAAAAAATAACAATTTGAACTGATATGTAACCGAATATCAATGTGTGCAAACCAATGTTCTGAACTACCTCACAATATATGCCATCAAACATGTTGAATTTTTCCAGTAACAGTAAGAAATGGCATCAGAGATGCCATTGGAAAGACCAAAAACATTTGGCTGCCAATGTATTTGTATTACATTTTACCATCCAATATCACTCCTAAAACAAAGGGGGAAAACAGATATGTTGGCAATACACAACTGATAAAAAAAGACATGGGAAACAGAAGATAATGGAAACGCAACTCAAATTCATGTTTCATCCGATGAAGTATAATAATCCTGCCCTCTTCTCAGCAACCAAACAAGTCCCAGACACAGAGGAAATAAATTAAAGATGGAACAGAATTAGGGTTAAGTCGCTTACATCCTGAGAAGAGATCTTCAACCAACTGGGTGGAGTCCTCTTGTACGGCAAAGCAGATGCAGAAATACCCTTACTGAAGAACAAACAAATCAAAACAGCAGGTAAAGATGGTTTCACAGGGATGAATTCCAAAGAAGAAGTAAGGTGAAAGAACAAACCCTCGACTGTGCATACGACCCATGGCGGCGGAGTATTGAACCTTGCTGCTTTGCTAGGTCTCGCAGCTCCAACGCCTCTATCTTTGTTCTGAGGAAAGTAAACCTAGATAGCCAAAATGGAGGCGCCGGGTGTAGGGTTTTATCTTCTCGATTATTTGCACATCAGTCCTTCGATTTCATTAGAGTTTCAACGGCCGTACAGTTTTTCTCTAATTCTCTTGAGTGCTTCGGACTGGACTATATTTTGGGCCTGTAATGGGCTAAAATGATAGACCTAAGTCCATAAAAACCCATAAGCTATTCAGATAAAAATAGCTTATACTAAGCATTCCCCCCATATGGCATGCTGGCGACCATGCTGAAAAGTCGATGGAATACACCCTTAGTTCCTTATATCGAGTTTGATTTATTATTTTGAACAGATATTAATATAACTTAACACTATAGTTTCTTTTGTAAAAAAAAAAAAGCTAATACTAAACGGAAGCCCAAAAAAATCTATGACAAATTGGGCCATTTTCCACCTGTAAACTGTAAGCCCAGGCACAATGAGTTTCCTTAAAAAGTAAAACATAAAAAATGAAAGTCCCTTATAAAACAGGAATATTGGGATTTACGCTTTATTCAATTGTTAGTATTGTGCCATCTTATGCAAAATACCCTTTTCGTTAAAAAAAATAAAAGTAAAGATGATCTGTCAAACATTTCGACTTTGGGATAGGGCTGGGCATTTTTTAACCGAATCGATTGTTTACTTGAAAATCGAACCGAAAAAATGAATTCGGTTCGGTTTTAATGGTTTTTGGTTTAATTTTTTTGATTTTAATGTTAACTGAATATATTTTAGTTCGGTTTTGATTGAATCTCTTAAAAATCAAAAACCAAAAATAAACCAAAAATAAGTCATTTAAAAACTAAAATATGATAAAATATAATATATTATTAGAAAAATAATTAATTATTATTTATTATCAAAAACCGAAATCAAAACCAATTTAAAATCAATTTATTGATAACCAAACCGATCAATTTTTTGATCATTTCGGTTCGGTTTTGGTTCTCAAAATTAAGAAAAAAATTTTGGTTATTTCAAAATCGATTTCGATTTTAACCAAAATCGGTTTTTGCCCACCCCTACTTTGGGATGCCAATACAAGAAAAGAGGACGAGTGTTATTGGGTAGAGGGTGAAACCAGAACAGTGAAGATAAAGAAGAGTTATGTCTCATCCGACATTGTTTGCTTCGTCCTAGACGA